ATAAATTGAATTGCATAAAGTTTGAAAGATAATTAATATATTAATAATACAAAATTAAAGTAGTTTAGCTCATTTTCGGTACAGATTTTAATATTTATTCATAAAAACTTATTTATATTTTACATTAAAACTAATATACAATTTTAATTTTTTTGTATTTACAGATATTTACATTCGTATTGAATTATACGGTAATATTGTTTCAGACTTCATCTAGAAAGTAGTTTATAATATTAACATTTACTCATTGTATTTAAAACTTATATAGAGGTATATTTTTTGCTTAAATAGATAATGCCGGGAATGCTTTTGTAATTTATTAAAAATAAATTATTAAGTATCAAAATATTTTAATATATTTTTATTTCGAAATAATTGATAAACATATTTCATATAACAAACAGAATTTAATGAAAATTATTTATAATTTTTATGCTTGTTATCGTAATTATAATGCTAAATCATTTAAGGTTAGCAACATAATTATCACAAAAACATTTATGTGCGTCCATAAGATAATTATGTACTATTAACATTAATTAATAATACTTAAATTATTTGTAATAACATATTTCACAAAATAATATATCTAAAAATTAATTACTCAAACAATAAAATATAGCTATTCTATTAAACTGTTTATGAAAATCAATAATGACTTATTCTGTTAGGTTAATTATACAGATAAAATTGTGATAAAAAACATAATTAATGAATCGTTAACAAGTAAAATACCATACATGTAAAAAACAAATTCTTTTGTTAGAGGCTTGATAAAAAATATACTATATTTTCTAATCTTAAACACAATGTTTAAAATAACTTACAAGCTTAATAAATGTGTACCAGTATTCATTAGATTCTTATTTAAATTCCTACGGATATTTGGTTGCACAAAATCATATAAAATTATTATAAGGAATTAATATTTTTGAAAATTAAAAACTGATTAAATTAATAAATGTGCTTTTATGAATCACATGGATACACTTAGCCCAGTTATAAAAACCCACTTTTTATCCATATTTATTGCATTCCTATTATTGATAACTTATTTGAAAACAAATTTATTTTCTTATCATAAATTCAATTTAATATATTTATTATTAGAAATATTCATTTTAATAATAATTCATAAATCATTATGTTCAAGTCCATTACGAAAATGAGCTAAACTACTTTAATTTTGAATTATTAATATATAATTATCTTTCAAACTTTATGCAATTCAATTTATTATTATTAGAACTAACCTAATTAATTTAAATGTCATGTAATTTTTACTATGACAAGGTATTTAGAAAATTTATCACAAACATTTTAAAAACATTTTAAATTTTAAATATGGCCTGGTTTATATTAAACTCTAATATAGCAGTTAATGTTGTATTAGTTTATTTAAGAATATTTGGATGCACATTTAATGGATTAACTATTAACCGGACCCTTGATTATAAGCTAGCTCAGTCAAAATATTTAAAATATTATTCATATTCAATAACCTTTATATTAGCCACCATAGACATCTATAATATAATTCATATTATAATATATAAAACTGCTGTAAATACATTATTATTTGACTCTGGTATTCAAGTATTTCCAGTGCTTTATTTATTATTTCGTATAATTGAATCATGCTATTGTTTCATTATTATTTATACATTTAATACAACATCGGGATTTAAGATAATATCCACCATTTATAATAATATATATCCATTGTTAACACCTAGATTATTATCATGGAAAGTAATATGTGCTGTATGCTTTTTAATAGTTGATATTTTACTTAAGTATTGTCTAATAATAAATACCATAATTAGTAATTGGCATCAAATTAATTATCTCAAATTGTTATATTTAATCAAATATACATCTATGATTAATTTCAATTTAGTTTATTTTACTATCGTATGGTGTATAGTAATTTATTGCACTGGTATTTTAAATAGTATTGCCAAGGAATTAAAAGGTAAATTTAACATAAAACAACACTGGTACTTTATAATACTAAATACTAATATTATTTACAAATATTTTAGATTCAAAACATTTCCGCAAGAAATCTAGCATATTAATTAAATTAAAATCAAAGTTTATTACTATTTATAAATTAATTCTTGATCTAGATGCATATTTAACGTATGCCTTATTTATAAGCACAGTATACATTATAATATTAGTTTTATATGAAATATATACACTAACATATACACGTGATCTACATTCAAATCTTGTATTTGGGAACCTATATGCTATTAGTTTTGCATCGCTATTAGTTAAATTTATATTAACTTGTCTATTATGCGATAATATAAAGTATCAGTCAATGAAAATTAATGTTGCATTGAATGCAATGAATACCCGGGATATGATGGACAGGGAGTTTCGGGAATGGCTTACGTTTGCGACTGTAATGCGAAATACGCGTACATTTGGGTTCACTATCGGAGGGTTTGCTGCACTCAATAAGTCCACACTTATCAAGGTGATCAGTATTTTTAATGTATTTCATTTTAATAAAAATTCAAATAAATTTTGTTATTTTTATTTTATTTCAAACAGATATCTACATTTGTATTGTATTATACAGTTATACTATACCAGACCAATCGGCAATAAGATTTAATGTATAATATTTCTAATATTTCACAATATTATATAATACTAAAATATTTATTCACACATAATTTTATTGTGATTTTAATTTTATTATCAATAGTATAAATACTAATAGAAAAATTCAGTGAATGCACCTGACACAATAAACATACAATTATATATACTTGTAATTGTTACAAGTTTTGTCTCATGTTGTATTCAATAAATTCAATTAATCAATTATTGTAATGCGCACACTATAACTATATCAAATATTTAACTAAATAGTATATTATTTTAAATTGTTCAAGTTATTGACTCACATGCATCATTAATCATAAGGTTTTTTATTTGCATATTAATAAATTTCTTTTATAATTGAATGTAATCCAACAAAATGTTTTGTAATAATTGCTTATAATGAATGACGAATACTAATATACTACATATGTACAATATGAATCCCTTTTGAAAGTAACATATGATTAGAAAATACAACTTTGCTTACAATCTAAGATTGATTTTAGGGTAGATAAAGGTTTAGTAAGTTTAACTTAAGTGGCATACACTGTACTATTAATAAATCAATACTATATGTGTGAAAAATAAGTTAGATTTATTTGATTTGTAAATTAATAAACAAAAACAAAATAATATTTTGAGAAAATATTCATTAATAGTACACTGTATGCCACTTAAGTTAAACTTACTAAACCATTATATACCCTAAAATCAATCTTAGATTGTAAGCAAAAGCTGTATTTTCTAATCGTTTGTTTCGTTAAAATCCAATTCATATGTTTAATTGAAATACACTTAAAAATATAAAACAAGGCAATTAAAAAATATTTGCTTAAATAATTTACATTTAAAGTAAATATTTATTATCAAAATGAGTGTTAGAGTAATTTCAACATGTCTAATTTGTTGTATTTTAATTGGTTTTACAGGTAAATATAATAATCATATAATTGTGATAGTTGTTGATTTATGATTATTTATTTATTTCAATAATTATAATCTGATAACTTAATTAAATATAAAATTTAATTTCAGTGGAGCCCCAACCTAAGCAACACAAGGTATTTTATTTATATAATATTAAATTTTTAAATGTTTATCTAGCTATTATGCTTATAACTGTTTATAACTAGCGTGTTGTGAGGGCAGCGAGTATATTAGCCAATAAATGGCCCGGTGGCACTGCGTACTATACGATAAATGCTAGATCTAATTTTACCGGTAAGTCATCAAGATCAAATATGCTTTTATAGCTATTTCATTGTAAAGCATTCACAGACAGCGATAAATCGGTGATATTATCGGCGATGAAAGAGATTGAAAACGTGTCGTGCATTCGGTTTAAAGTGAGAACTAATCAGAAAGATTATCTCAATATTATTAAAAGCAAAACGTAATTATCCTTGATGTTGTCTTTTTACTGCATATATTTTTAGAAATGGTTAGCGAACCTCATTTTGTACAGTAATTACCTACACGATTTTACTAAATTTAATCTAATTCATTAATATGCAAATGAATACAACTGTATAATGTATTTATGTATATTATATATTTTCCATAAATATCATATAATTTATAAATTTATATTTTTAGTTCCCAAACATTAGTAGGCCGTAGGGGCGGTGGCCAGGCGTTTAACCTAAATAAATCAGTCATGAACAAAGGGAGTATAATGCACCGCCTACTACATGCCCTGGGTCTAATTCACGAGCACATGCGATCCGATAGGGACACCTATCTAAATGTATACCTAAATCGTGTTTCACCTGATGGTATTACTAACTTTGTGAAAAAGTCTGCCAATCAAAACAAACTGTACACAAAATTTGATTACGACTCCATTATGATATACTCATCTAAGGCATATTCAAGGAATGACCGAGCTACAATTGTACCTAAGAATAAAACAATCACGCTGATTCCGTCGAGTAAAAAAACTAAAATGTCCAAGCTAGATGTAGACAGCTTGCGTTCGATGTATAATTGTACCAAAAAATAAGTAAAATTTTCAACATGTCTCAATTATTTACTATATTATATTATTCCTGAATAAATGGTATTTTGTGAAGTTAATGTTTTAAAATAAAAAATATTAGATGTTGCACAATAATTAAAATTAATTAAGAATGATATTCATAATCTGTGTTTATTTATAACTTGCATGTACATTAAATATAAATGAAGTTTTATTTAAATATTTAATTATTTTACTATGCAGTTACATAAAACAAGACTAATATTTCCTAGACAAAACTAATATCAAAATTGACTAGACATTAATTGTTGGAAAATTTTTATCTAAAATTAGATTTGCACTTTTAAATAAAATTTCCATACTGCTAGTCTAGTCAACTAGGATATTATTATATTTAGTAGAATAAACTTGTACACCAAATTATAATTATAACTTTGTATGACTTCAACAAAATAATCAATAATTTTAGGTTTTAAAAAAATCTAGAAGTCTGTACATTAGAAGTCTTACGTTGTCAATGTACCTAGATATATTTTATATACGCAACCTACTAATATTTAACTAGTAATTGTTTTACGTAATAATGTATGTATTTTTATTTAAAGCTATAATTAATATTTTATTTTAAAAATTTTGTAAATATCAAATAAAATAACTAATAATGTTGCACTGTAGAACCTGTACATAAAATATAACTTTTAAATTAAATAATTTTTAAATGAAATAGATTTTAAAATGTAAATACAAATAATAAAATAAGCATAAACTTTATATGATGTAATATAAATAGCCGGTTTATATTTTATAAAGATATATTAATTGTTTAATTAATTTTTAAAAATAATTTTAATAACTTGAGAAATAATTGAATTTTGTTTATTTAAATAACAAAATATTAGATTTTTGTTTATAACTAAAATGATATAGCTAAAGTACTACTAAAATTAAAGTATAAGTTAAAGTATAGCTAAAGTTATAATGTACTACTAAACAGGTTATATTGTAAATAATTATATTTTAAAATATTTAACAATTTCGATAATAATTATTTAAAATAAATTGTAAATTTCATTGCATATTTTATGAGTAAGTACAATAAAAATCTATGGTATGTTTATATAAAATAATTTTTAAAGTAATTCTTGTATAAAAAATATTATTAATTTTTTATACTATATTGTAGTCTCTATTAATACTTTTAAGATTTTATTTAATTAATAAATTCAGAAAATAAATTAAATTAATAATTAGAAACTAAACAATTAATTAAGTAACCTAACCCTCTTTAAATAAAATTAATTATATCTTAATATGAGTAAATACTATATGTATATAATAATAATTTAGATTATTTTGATAAATTCCTATGTTACATTTAGAATTTCACTTTATTATAAATTATAATCAAATTTAATTTCATAGATTTTTTTATTATAATAATACTTTATAAGCGTGCGATTTACCAACCTGCTTATTTGTACAGGTAAACAATTTGCAATAACTCTGATGAAGCAGTTTTCACATTTAAAAATAAAAAATATTCAATGTTATATAAATAGCTAGAACATTCGTTTAACATATTAGTAATATATTTTTATATCTAATGCTTATTTTAAGAATTAATAATTAAGGTGCTTATTTTAAGTATTAATGTAGATATTATAGTTATATATATAAATAGATAAATATTAATTTTTTTCATTCAATATAATTTAATGATCACATAAATTATAATGACTAGAAAATTATCATTTGACTTGATTCGTAAAAACACGAAAACCCCACATGACATGGAAGGAAATGTAGGTGACCAGGGTATTAAAAATAATAAGTTTCAACTAAAATGGCCTAAATGGTTGCGAAAGGATACAGATGTATGTTTTTAATTATATTTAATATGTATTTAAATAACTTTGTAACATTAATTATTAATAATTTAAACTAACAAATCTAAATAATAGTAATTTAGTAAATATTTTTTAATCAAGGTTATTTATTTCCTGTTTGTCTAGTAAATTGCTATAAGTTATAAGTTATACTGTAGTTTTTAATAGACTTGCTTTTATAGAAATAATAGTTTAAATATTTCAATATACAAGTGTTAATTTATTACTAATATTAGTTTAGTAGAAATTGTAAAATCACTCGTTAGCACTAATTTACTGGTTATTAGCCTAAAGTAGATTACTTTTATAAACTCACCTGTACACATAAACTTAAAACTATTGTCAATTAATTTTAAAAATTAATTTTATATAAAATCCATAGAAAACCACAAACAAAGAGGACATAGATTTGGCAAAAGAGGTGACAATTGAGGAGCACTTGTATACACTAAACAAGTTGTGCCAAACACTGGGCACGAGCTGCGAGTCGGGTATCAGTGATAGTGAGGCCGATGTGCGACTCAAACGGGACGGACCTAACGCTTTCACACCACCCAAACAGACCGCGTGGTATATACTACTGGGCCGGCAGATGACCACCGCGTTTGCCATTATTTTATGGATTGCCTCTATCATCTGTTTTATATGCAGTGGCTTGCCTAACAGCTCGAGTAGTCAGCTTGAATATGTATGTATAACATGGTATAAGTTAGGTTAAATACAATTATGCATGATTGATTATTTTTTTGCAGATTATTATCGGAGTAGCACTGGCCCTAGTGGTGATAATAACTGGAACATATTCATATTCACAGGAAGCAAGCAGTAGCAAGATATTTAAATCGTTTAAAAATATGATCCCGCAGGTTTGTCTATGAATTTGTTTGATAAAATTGAGACACAAATTATTATTTTAAAAGCTTTTAAAAATCTTATTATATTGTATATTATATACGATATTACCTAATAACGATTTTATAGATTCCTTACGCTATATTAATCATAAATAATTAATAAATAGTTAGCATTAGAATTAAAAACGTTATTTATTAATTCTAATTAAAATAATTAAACTTAAGAACTGTCATTGTAAATATTAGAAATAATGTGTTATTTACTTAACTATGCACATTTAATAATGGAGCGCGAATAGTTTGTATTGTAATTTTTATCTTGCAGTATAATTATAAAATATTTTGTAACTAGATAAATTTATTTTTTACACTTAGCAAACTGTAGTAATCAGGGGTGGGCAGCGAAAGGAAGTTCCGGCCAACCTATTAGTGGTCGGCGATCTAGTCTACTGCAAAAGTGGAGACCGTATCCCGGCTGACANATAGTAAGATTTTTAAAGACTTTTAAAATAATAATTTGTGTCTCAATTTTATCAAACAAATTCATAGACAAACCTGCGGGATCATATTTTTAAACGATTTAAAAATCTTGCTGCTGCTAGCTTCCTGTGAATACGAATATGTTCCAGTTATTATCACCACTAGGGCCAGTGCTACTCCGACAATAATCTGCAAAAAATAAGCAAACATGCATAATTATATTATTCAAATTATATCATTTTATACATACATATTCAATGTTAGTATCAATCGCATAACACGCAAAACTGATGATAGAGGCAATCCATAAAATAATGGCAAACGCGGTGGTCATCTGCCGGCCCAGTAGTATATACCACGCGGTCTGTTTGGGTGGTGTGAAAGCGTTAGGTCCGTCCCGTTTAAGGCGCACATCGGCCTCACTATCACTGATACCCGACTCGCAGCTCGTGCCCAGTGTTTGGCACAACTTGTTTAGTGTATACAAGTGCTCCTCAATTGTCACCTCTTTTGCCAAATCTATGTCCTCTTTGTTTGTGGTTTTCTATGGATTTTATATAAAAGTAATTTTTTTAATTAATTCACAATAGTTTTAAGTTTATGTGTACAGGTGAGTTTATAAAAGTAATCTACTTTAGGCTAATAAACAGTAAATTAGTGCTAACGAGTGAGTTTTACAATTTCTACTAAACTAATATTACCTAGTAATAAATTAACACTTGTATATTGAAATATTTAAACTATTATTTCTATAAATTTAGGTTTTTATGTTTGCTTTTTAAGTCTATTAAAAACTACAGTATAACTTATAACTTATAGTAATTTACTACACTAACAGGAAATAAATAACCTTGATTAAAGAATATTTAATAAATTAGTATTATATAGATTTTGTTAGCTTAAATTATTAATAATTGATGTTACAAAGTTATTTAAATACATATTAAATATAATTAATAACATACATCTGTATCCTTTCGCAACCATTTTGGCCATTTTAGTTGAAACTTATTATTTTTAATACCCTGGTCACCTACATTTCCTTCCATGTCATGTGGGGTTTTCGTGTTTTTGCGAATCAAGTCAAATGATAATTTTCTAGTCATTATAATTTATGTGATCATTAAATTATATTGAATAAAAAAATAATATTTAAATATTTATATATATATATAACTATAATATCTACATTAACTCTTAAAATAAACCTTGGATACACAAATATATTACTAGTATAATAAACGAATATTCTAGCTATTTATATAGCATTGAATATTTTTGATTTTTAAATGTGAAAACTGCTTCATCAGGGTAATTGCAGATTGTTTACCTGTACAAATAATCAGGTTCGCAAATCACTCGCTTATAAAGTATTATTATTATAAAGTATCCACGCAATTTAATTTGATTATAATTTATAATAAAGTGCAATTCTAAATATAGCATAGGAATTTATCATAATTGACAAAATTATTATTATATACATATAGTATTTACTCATATAAAGATATAATTAATTTTATTTAAAGAGGGTTAGCCTACTTAATTAGGTTAGTTTACAAAAATTAATAAAATTTGTTATACAAGAATTACCTTGAAAATTGTTTTATATAAACATAGATTTTATTGTGTTTACTCATAAAATATGCAATATTTAAGATTTATTTTAAATAATTATTATCGAAATTGCTGAATATTTTAAAATATAATTATTTAAAATACACTCTGTTAAGTAGTACTTTATAACTTTAGCTATATCATTTTAGTTATAAACAAAAATCTAATAGTTATTTAAATGAACATACAATTCGCAATTATTTCACAAGTTATTAAAATTATTTTTAAAAATTAATTAAACAATTAATATATTTTCAGAAATATATAAACCGGCTATTTATATTATATCATTTAAAGTTAATGCTTATTTTTAAAAATTTTTATTATTTATATTTACATTTAAAAATTTATTTAAAAAAATTATTTAATTTAAAAATTATATTTTATGTATAGGATCTAATGTGCAACATTATTAGTTATTTTATTTGATATTTACAAATATTTTTAAATAAAATATTAATTATAGTTTTAAATAAAAATACATAACTATTACGTAAAACAATTACTATTTAAGTACAAGTAGGTTGCGTATATTAAATACATCCGGGTACATTGACAACGTAAGATTCTGATGTAAAGACTTTTTTAAACCTAAAATTATTGATCATTTTGTTGAAATCATACAAAGTTATAATTATATATAGAGAAAATATGGTATATTAAATATATTATATATATTTTATAATTTATATCATATCAATACCTTTAATTTGATTTAAATATAGTTTGGTGTACAAGTTTATTCTACTAAATATAATAATATCCTAGTTGACTAGACTAGCAGTATGGAAATTTTATTTAAAATGCAAATCCTATTTTAAATAAAAATTTTCCAACAAGTAATGTCAAGTCAATTTTGATATTAGTTTTGTCTAGGAAATATGAGTCTAGTTTTATGTAACTGTATAGTAAAAAAATTAAATATTTAAATAAAACTTCATTTATATTTAATGTACATGTAAGTTATAAATAAACACAGATTATGAATATCATTCTTAATTAATTTTAATTATTGTGCAACATCTAATATATTTTATTTTAAAACAATAACTTCACAAAATACCATTTATTCAGGAATAATATAATATAGTAAATAATTGAGACATGTTGAAAATTATACTTATTTTTTGGTACAATTATACATCGAACGCAAGCTGTCTACATCTAGCTTGGACATTTTAGTTTTTTTACTCGATGGAATCAGCGTAATTGTTTTATTCTTAGGTACAATTGTAGCTCGGTCATTCCTTGAATATGCCTTGGATGAGTATATCATAATGGAGTCGAAATCAAATTTCGTGTACAGTTTGTTTTGATTGGCAGACTTTCTCACAAAGTTAGTAATACCATCAGGTGAAACACGATTTAGGTATACATTTAGATAGGTGTCCCTATCGGATCGCACGTGCTCGTGAATTAGACCCAGGGCATGTAGTAGGCGGTGCATTATACTCCCTTTGTTCATGACTGATTTATTTAGGTTGAACGCTTGGGCACCGCCCCTACGGCCTACAGATGTTTGGGAACTAAAAATATAAATTTATAAATTATATGATATTTATGGAAAATATATAATATACATAAATACATTATACAGTTGTATTCATTTGCATATTAATGAATTAATCTAATTTAGTAAAATCGTGTAGGTAATTACAAAATGAGGTTCGCTAACCATTTCTAAAAATATGAGCAGTTAAAAGACATAACATCAAGGATAATTACGTTTTGCTTTTAATAATATTGAGATAATCTTTCTGATTAGTTCTCACTTTAAACCGAATGCACGACACGTTTTCAATCTCTTTCATCGCCGATAATATCACCGATTTAT